CCCCAAAACCCCAAAACCCCAAAACCCCTATCTCACTTAGCTTCATCGAATCCTAATAAATCCACAAAACAAACTTCCAACCCGCCACCAGAACCACTGGAGGCAGCCCAAGCCAGAGAAAGACAAAGGAAGAACCCTATTGGGCGAAGGAACATAACTGTTTTAAATAAGATTTAGGGTGAAAAGAGCAGATTTGGGAGTAAGAAATGGGAATTTAGAAGAATTTTTAACTGGAGTTATGGGGTTATTGCTGGTTTATTTATGGGATGAGGATGAGGGAGGAATGCAGAGATTTCTCAGAGTGAGGTTTGCTTGATTGGCTTCTTTGGGTGTTATTTATAACCTGTTCCTTTGATTTCTCAAGGTCTCCTTTTATTGAGATTCCCAGTCCTACTGTTATTCCAAAACAGCCAAGATATGTGATGAAACCAGGCATATTATCTTGGCCAAGTATGCACCCAAGAATTTGAGTAAGCATTGGTTCTAATAAATAGATGCTTCCAACTATATGTGGGGGAAAGAAGTTTAGAATAAAAACATACCCTCCTACTCCAACTAAACCTGTAAATGTTCCAACAAAGACAAGTGAGTACACCAAATAGGTATCCGATGCCCAGCCAAAGACTCCGAAATTAGGGTCAAATGAATAAAAAATTTCCGTATCCATGAAGCAGATATAGAAAATCAAGTTCATAATAAGCTGTATGGTAAAGCTTACTTGTAGTATTACCATTGATGGGAGCTTCTGAAGCAATCTTGCACTGACAATATAATAAATCCCATACAAGGGAGCAGAGCACAATGATATAATATCTCCTAAAAGAATATTTGTATGTCCATTAGTTTTAGTGGAAGAATTATCATTGACAAAAATGATTGCAAAAATTATCACAACAATTATTCCAATAATCTCTAATCGATGCACTGGAAGAGATCTCGCAAGGTTAAGAAACACAATAAACACTCCTCCAAAATTAGCGAATAAGCCAGAATGAGATACAAGAGTATACTCCGAGCTCCATATAAAAAGCAGAGAAGCTGTAGTCCACAACGTTGCTGATACCAAAAACTCAACACAAGTGCCTATAGTAAATATCTTCTTCACATCCATGCCATCCCTCTTCATATAAAAATAATACAAACTTCATGGCAAACAGTAGGCCACCAACAGCTGCCACCTCCAAATGGTCCTCAAAAGAACACTGACTTCCTTATATTCATCGATCAAAGGTAAAATTGAAGATGCTCCTCCCAATGCAAACACTGCAATTATAATACCTAAAGGAATCACCAAATTGACTTGCCAATGACTAAACTATTGGATTTCTTCTCTGACTCTTCCTGTATAACAGAGATTTCAAATGATCTCACACTCATCTTTTACTAATACAATACTTTAACTTAATTCAATAAAAATGTCTAACTTCGGGGTTTTGGGGTTTTGGGGTTTTGGGG